AATTTTAAGTGAGCAATAGTTTTACTCAGAAACAAAAACTGACACCACAATGATGATGACGAGGATGAGACTGATATTACTACTGCTAACAATGTTGACAAAGACTGTTCAGGTAATTGTATGCAGGATATGCTACAATGAGGCTAGTGAAAAGAATTATGTGTAAAGGAAGAGTCAACAGGAAGAACTTAAAAAGATAAACAGACATAAAAAGGCTTTTAGTAAATATCACATATAAAACTAATGCTATCAGAATATATGAATAACAAATTTAAATAATTATTTTATCAGCTGAAAATGAGAAATGAAAATCAAGAGTAACAAATTAGAACTAGAACATTAACTTTGAACTCCTGCATAAACTAAAATTATCAAGTTGTTTTTGTTGCAAATTATACACTAGATAAAATACTTCATAGAATAACTTTTAGAGAACATTATGTCTAAATCATAAAAATAAAACAAGAAGGGTGGTATATTCTAAAAGCATGTAACTGACCACTGAATGTAAACAGTCAGGATACTCTTGGTCTACTGTACCTTTAAACATTTAAGATATCTTCTGCCTTAGCAGTTTTGTATACGTTTTTAAAGTAGCATAAACTTTTTTGTATATTCCAATTGAATATAAGGAATCCAATTTATATAAGAATTTACTATTATAAAAATGATAAAAGCAGAGTTTCCCTGGGGGCCCAGGCTATAGCCACTAGGGCTACAGTATCCAAACTCGCAGAGGAGATCACGGGCACTGATATGTGTTGAAATTTTCAAGGGAAAGGTGCATCTGCCAGACGCCGAGAGATTCCTGGTCCAGGTGGCTCTAGTCCACAGCAGATTGTGCAGCATTCCTGTCTGTGTCACTTCGCACAAAGCAGGGTTTCCACAGTGCTGCAATAAACACCAAGCACTGTCCGCAAATCAATACGGGTGAGAACATGAGGGCTCCCTGGGTCTGAGGAGCTCCGCAAGGCCCAAGAGGCACATCTGTCCCATCAGGGAGTAGTTGTGATTAAGAATAACATGCAAATGTCATTTTCTTTTAATTTTAATGTGTACTATTTTTTTAAGTATCTACCAGATTATTTATTAGTTTTTAAATACTTACTAATCTGTCTAATACTTAATAAAAAACTACTACATATTTCCTTTGGCCTTAGTGTGCCATTAAAAAATTACCGAGATACTAAGGGTCTGTGATCCAAAAACGATCGAGAACTGGCATGCTAGAGTTTTCCTCTAACCCAAGGCAAAGGTGAAAAAAAACATTGCTCTCAGAAAAATAGTGTGGAAGAGCATGTGAGTGGGTGGGGAAAACACCAATTCCTTTTTCTTTAAACGTGTTTATTTTGTTTTCACCCTTACAAATAATATATTTGCCTTTTAATAAAAATAAATTAAATAAAGAAATTTAAAGGAAAAAAGTTCTTAAAAAAATCAAACTCTACCGGGCGCAGTGGCTCACGCCTGTATCCTAGCACTCTGGGAGGATGAGGTGGGCGGATCACCCAAGGTCAGGAGTTCGAACAAAGAGTGAGATCTCGTCTCTACTAAAAATATAAAGAAATGAATTGGCCAACTAAAAATATGTAGAAAAAATTAGCCGGACATGGTGGTGCATGCCTGTAGTCCCAGCTACTCAGGATGCTAAGGCAGAAGGATTGCTTGAGCCCAGGAGTTTGAGATTGCTGTGAGCTAGGCTAATGCCACAACATTCTAGCCTGGGCAAAAGAGTGAGACTCTGTCTCAAAAAAAAAATCAAACTCATCTGATTTTGGCTCACAAAATTACAATCTTACATAATATTCCAAAGACTTCCCTTGATGGTATTTAACCAGCCAAACAGCACAGACAAAAAAAGGCGGACATGACAGAGATTTTCTTCTTTTTTATAACCTACTGACAAAG